GGAAAGAAGACAACGTTTTTCTGGTTTGCCATACCTCTGTACACTTGGATTCATTTCAGAGGATACCAGATCTTAAACCAGACTTAACTTTCTTGGCAAAACAACAGCTGGAATGATGGAGTTTGCTGCTTAAGACAATAAAAAGCAGTTCTCATGATAGTATTAACAAAACAGTTATTGACTTGTAATAGAAAGTAGTGATGATCTCTGTACTGCTGTAATGAGAATACATTAGTAAGGGGTGGTTTGGCCTTGTGTTGATGGTAGGCATTTTATTTACACATGTGAGTTTCATAAGTAGGACTAGGAGATGCAAGAAAATTACTTTATGGAAGTGCTTTTTGTCAGTGAGCATCCTGTAGTATCCCTATTTTACAGCCAGGACTCTGGTGCATTAGAATTTCATGAGTTCCACATAGCATCTGAGAGCCAAATCCAGCACACCCATGTCCCGTACTTGTAACTTAATTATAACTCCATCATCCTCTTTGTTGCTAAATGTTCGGTGATTTCCAAGTTGTGGTCTGTAGTGAGGACAGGCTCTTTCTTAACAGTTAAGAAGGGTGGTGTGTTTGTACTTTGGGCTGTTTCTCTTAATTATGAGGTTGTATATGACAAAGGAACTACATCAGTCTGTGTGAACAAACTCTGAGTCCAGTGCCACATTGTGAAACCAACACTTCAGCAATCTGACATGCGTGTGAAGGTGACAGACACTGATAAAACAGCTTCGAGCACTTTCAAGAAGCAAACTGAAAACAAGGGACTGAGAGAGTTGTTTTCTGGAGATTTGCAGCTTGTAAAAATTCCTGAAGCTGGGTAAATGGCAGAGCTGGGGTAATCTTGTGTAGCTGTGTTCACAGTAGTACCAGCTGTTCCCAGATGCCCACTAAAATACTCATTTACCCTGCTGTGATGGAAAGCTCTGGAGGTTTTTTTTGCCTTGTGGCAGAGGCAGAAGTTTGTTCAGGGAGAAGTCCCATCCTCCTCCACATTCATCCATCCACTCTTGGAAGCTGTGATGTAAACTATAATGTAAAATGTAATCAGTGTCACAAAATCATTGGTATATCTTCATGTCAGCACAAGGCAGGCTGTTAAATTGGTGTTGCTCTTAACAACTTTGAACTCCTATGTCTAAACCCTTTCTGTTGGGTTTCATACTTTTGAGGCGAGTTAACATTCCTGGTTGGGAGAATCAGTTAGAGTATGGATTCCATTTTTGCTGTGGTTGGTGAACGACTCACTGTGTAATGATGATTTCAGTATACCACTTCTAAGGTAATAGTTTATATTGCCTTAGTTTTCCCCTGCCTGCTTACTTTTTCTTTGAACCAGACAACTCGTACAGCTTACAGCGGAAAAATTACAGAGTTGAAATTTACTGCTGGGCAGACTATCATGAAATGAGCTTCCAGCATTTGTCACAACATATGGGTGATTACAGCCTTAGTACAGATGCAACAATTCAGTGTCTGGGTCAGTCAGTGTTTGCAGTGAAGTCACACCCCCAGTATCACAGTAGGCTTTTTCTCCTGGATATTTTGCCATGGTGATGTGGCTATGTCTTTGCAGACCTCTAGACTACAGACTTGTGGAGGAGTTTGTGTTGGTATCATTTGCATTGTTTTTCAATGCATTCTGACCCAACTGTTCAGCATTCACAAGCAACTTTTGCTGTCTTTAGAAGATTGGTTTTAGCTTTTTTCTTTTTTTCAGAAAGTGATGTATAGCCTATAAAAAAAAAAACTGTCCTTTTTTTATTTATTTGTATTACAGAACCAATTTGGTTCTAGTCTCTGGGTGTAAGTGTGTTGTAGGTGTGAAATAGTGAGGCTTGGCTGAAACAACCAGTTCTGAAATAGTAATGACAACCACCTGAAGGCACTTATAAAGTCTAGTAGTTGAAGCAGCAGTAGCTTAAATGGAGGCATGTGCCACTGTTGAAAACTAAGCCACATATTGTTTGCTTATCAGTTTGTTCCTTTACAAAAAAAAAGGAAGTATCCAGATGGAAAACACAGCAAGAAAGCACAAGGCACAGCCTGAATAAGCATGTCCTATGTCCCATATCAAGCGTACTGTTTATCATTTTAAATAAACTTCAATGAATTTCCTGATTCTGGTACTTCCCCTTTTTCTTTCTGATTGGAATATGTTGTAGGACATTTAATATTTGATTAAGGATTTTTTTGGTCCTCATGACTCATATGCAATGTTTATTTTAATGTATTTCACAAAGTTAATGAATGTTTAGGCAAAGATAGAAGATATCACTGTTTCACTTTTAGAAATGGAAACCTGAGGTAGGGGTGTATCAATGTATATATTAGGTGACTACGTGAGGTAGGAGGTATCCTCTGATACAGTGGCTTGAGCTATATGAGGCAGGCAGCTTAGTCCTGATACTCTCTCTAGAGGTAGAGCTCAGGTCTGAGATGGTTCCCTCCCAGTGCCCAAGTTTCTCTTTCAGGAGAGTGAGCTGGCTCCCTCCAGGTTGTACCAGCATGTGAATCAATGTCTAGGCACTGTGAGCAGTCGGACAGCTTGGGTGTCTTAAGACTGGCTTTAAGATAGCCATATAGATGTAAGCACTGAGAGGAAGCTGTGTGAGAGCTGATCCTGGCCCTAATACATAAAACTTGAAACTTGCCCACAAGCTCTGTGCTGTGTCCCTGTAATGGCCAATGTTGTCTGCCATGCAATATGCAGTGGTGGTCAATAGGTTGGTCAAACTTACAGCTGTGAAGGTAGAGTAAAAATAGATGTTATTTACCTGTTTTCATTACGGTCTTTACTTCTGTTTCTTAATTTCACACCTTTTTCTACTTCCATGTTTCATTCAGGATAGACCTGCTCTTAGAGAGGCAGCTCCTGCTGTATGCTTGGGCTTTGCAGGAAACGGGAAGCTCCTGAACCTGCATGGAATTTGTTTGTGAATGTTTTAACAGCTTGCTTTTCACGTTCCCTCCATTGTCTTAAGGATACTTGCACTTTGAATATTGATACATACTAAAAAAGTATATTCTATGCATTACTAACTACATCCCTTGCATGTGCAGTATGCATATATCTGTTCCAGAACATATACTCTGAAATAATTGCACCCATTCTTTTTACTGGTGGAAGGTAATTACAAAGACAAGAACACTGTAAAATTGTCCCCTTCCCACCCCCCTCTTATCTTACCAAGTTGTCCCTGACTGACTAAATGCCTTAAAGCAGGTTCTGTAGAGAAGGAGGAGTGTTAATCATTGAGATTAGTAGGTGTGGCTGCTGGAAAATCAGGCAACTCTAGTATGAGGTCTAACCTTTCAGTAAAGCTCCAGGGTGCAGTTCAGCTTTAAGATGCTTTATCCAGTATGAGTTTCACTTACATTTTGACTGGGTGATTTCTCTCTCTGTTTTTTAACAAAAAGAAACCTATTTTGATAGGTGGGTTTTGGTTCTGGAGCTTAATCGCCTCTAACTCTCTGACTTTCAGGTGGAACACCAGTATTCACACATATTCACTGTGACAGTAAGGAAAGCCACAAATGTCACAAAAGGAGCAATTGGTGACATGCGTGAGTATTTCTTTCTAGTATTTCTTTCTATTTTGTCTCTTTCTTTTAGGAGACCATTGCTGTAGGCAGGGGGAGATGACACATAAAGCTTGTCATGCATTAAACGATTGCTAGTGGGTTGGTGTTTTTTGGTGTCTTGTTTGTTAAAGCTACGGCAATGTACCCATTTCATTGCTCACTCTAACTCAGAAAGCAGATTTGCTGCTCCTTCTTTCCATTGATACAAGAAAGCTGAGTGAGTTGTAAACAATTTGCCTACAAGCAAGAAACACCTACACTTAGTTTTTTGGCTCAGTCGGAAGTGCTGTTCTGAGTATAGTGAAACTGGCAATTGCTCTGTTTTCAAAAGCCTGTGGTTTGGTGGTGGGAACACTTAAAAAGAAAGAAGCGCAGAGCTCTGCTGAGTCAATTCAGCAAGAAGAAAAAAAAGCAAAAAAAAAAAAAAA